TATGTTTGGTACCTGTGTGTATCCAGTAGTTGGTACTGTCCTTGATGATCTAGTGGTATCGGGGCAAAACTACATGATAAATAGGGTTAAGCAAGTGTCAAATTACAGCACAGGGACGGAGATTTAAAGCGATGGGGAATTTCAGAGAATGAAGAGACTGCGTGGGCTGAAGTTGTTGAGGTGCCGCCATAGAGGAAGTTGATCTCGAAAAAAGGCCAGGATTTGATGTTGGGCAGCTTACACGTGGAGCACAGCACAGAAAAAAGCAAAGCTGTTTTGACATTTTAGAACTCGTGTTAACCTTCATTCAGAACACCATGGTTTAGTTCTTTATTGTAAAGTCTGATGCCTGGGAAAAGTCCATACTTAGGCTGTGTGTAAATATTTCTACAGTCCTTCTAATTATATAACCTGAAATCAGCGCTCGGGAGAATATCTGTAATGACCAGTGTGTGAACCAGTGTAGATGCATTATACTTTGTCTAATAAAATATATAAGATTGCCAGTGAAGAGATGAAGCGTGTTTTTAAAACTGCTAATGATATTTTACAGAATTTACATCTTGTACCATCTTTCAAGGACCTGTCTTTGCTTTGTTTGGAATAACTGTGTCACATGTGCTGCAGAAGCACCTTCGTGTCCACATTTATGCATTCTTTCCTAGCCTCCATCACACCCAGGAGCTGCTCTATGAGAGCACCAAAGACTTTTTGCAACTCAAATTTGAAAACCAAAATAAGGAGAAGTCCTGGATGCTTGAAAAGGATCATTTGATGTCAAAGATTAAGCAATACAGGGTGCAGTGTAAGAAGAAAGAAGATAAAATTGGAAAAGTTTGGCCAGTTCATGAGAATCATTACAACCAGAATGAATACATTAAGGTAGTTTCCTCTATCTTTTACAGAATCTTTTTTTTTTCTGGAATTGTTGAAAGAACTCAGAGAATTTCAAAGAACCTAATAATTGTCAAGTAAGATCCATTCAGTCTGGGAAGCTGTTGTAGCAGCACCTCAAGAAGTAGGTTTCAAAGAGTAGCTCATCATTATAGTGTTTGCAGATTCAGAAAAGTAAAGTATGGCTTGATCGACAAATTCTGAGATCACGCAAGCCACGTAGCGTGGCCAATAAAACCCAAAAAAATTTAAATTAAGAAAAAAATTAAGAAGTGGTACTAAGGAATAACAGGGTTGTATGAAGATTACATATTGTTGTTGGAGGTGTACTTTCGTAGAGAAGCACAGGGACACCGTCTTAAGTCTGGTGTTTTTGCTGAGACCTGAAAAACGGGACTGCACTTGCCACACAGACCTCGGGGAAGAGCATGAGGCAGAGGGAAGAGCCGGTGTGAGGGAGGAGGTCGTCTTGGGCCTGGAGGAATGAGCTCGGAGGTTGGGGGGGCGGCCCTCACGTGGGGCTTCCCGGTCCTGCTGAGAAGACGCAGTGCTCAGCTTTTCTATGTCTTTGAAGGATTGTGTGTAAGGAAGTGACTTCTGATTTGGGTCTTTTCAAGACCATTCTGGCAGCTCAGTGGGACATGTGTATTTTAAGTGTTGTTGATGTTTCTTCCTTTTTAAAGAAGAACTTCAGAAATGTGTCCCAAAACGTATGTTGTAATGTCTTACTTGGTACAGTTCTGAACTCCATTATCTGACTCTTCCCAGAGCCAAAAATATCTGTTTTATTTTAAAGAATTTCTACTGTGTGCACTTTAGGAAAAAAGCTAAGAGAATCCTCTAGAAATAGGTTTTCAAACATTCTCCAGAGTTCCTTGCTGGAGTCTTGTTGCTTAACTCGTTTTGTACTTCTAGAAATCCTTTCTTTCCTTTCTTTACCTAAGTGCTATATGAGTAGTCTGAATTCCAGAACAGAGTATTAATTTCTTTTCCCTTTTGACCTACAGTCCCTGAAGGAAAAGATAGTACAAGAGAGAAAGCTGTCCAGCATGTACCAAGAGCAGTGCATTTCCCTAGAAGAAGAACTTGCCCAAATTCGTGAGGAGGAGGGAGTGAGGAGAGAGATCTTTAAGGTGTGAAGTTCTCTGCACTCGCGACAGGGGTGGGCAGTGCAGCTGGCGTGGAGATGCTCCCTGAGCTCCACAAATGCCCTCCTGTGTCCCTGTGTTTAGGATCGCACCAACAAGATGGGGAGGCGCCTACAGGTCATGACGAAACGCTACGAGGCCTTGGAGAACCGACGTGTCTTGGAAGTAGAAGGCTTTAAGACAGATATTAAGGCTCTCAAGCAAAAACTGAAAGACTTGGAGCAGATGCTCTATAAGGTAATTGATCCTGAATTACCAAGAGGGAGAAAAGAGGTGCAGGTGAGCCGACGGGCACGAGGGCCCCTCAGAGGAAAGCTGGGCCGCATCCCCACCCTTTCACTCTCACAAAAATTAGTTTAAACAGTGCATGCCGGAGGGAGGACAGAATAGACTGAAGTAATTGAATGACGGCATCATCGTACTCCCACCTAAGCTAAACTCAACAGAAATGTTCATCCCGCCCAATTCAAGAAGTAGATTGAAAGAACTGTGTCCACGGGGAATTCCCTGGCGGTCCAGTGATTTGTACTTTGCGCTTTCACTGCCAGGGCCGGGGTTCAGTACCTGGTCGGGCAACTAAGATCCACAAGCTGCACAGCGCGGCCGAAAGGAAACAAAGAACTGTGTCTGTTTTACAAATGGGGAAAGTGAGTAGCTGAGTTAAAAAGCAATTTTTCCTGTCAGACCTGGCTTTGTGTAGAATCCGAGTTGCCCTCAGTGCCTCCTTAGAGAAGTTTAACCGGTCATCCACACACTCTGAATGATCACTGTGCGACAAGCAGGTTAATGACAGAAAAGAAGAGATGCTTGCTTTCATTGTTTGGCAAATTTACTAATAATGTTTATATCGGTCTCTTCTTTTTACTCATTGTTAATTGCTGATTGACCTCTATCTCAAGGCTCCTTTACTATTGTGTGGGAAAGCAAAGCGTCTCATGCCTTTTGTGCCTTAATTCTACTCCATATTTTCCTTCTTTTAGCTAGTCACTAAACTAAGGATCGAAGCTATCCTATGTACTAAAAGACTCATAAAAAGGAGCCACCAGAGCCTGGTCTTGATGACTGGTTTCTCTCCTCTGGCATCTGCCGTAATCATTTCTCCTTCTTTTCAAATCTCTAGGCAACACTTAACACCAGGGCAAACCAGGATCTTGCCATCCTGTGTGAGGTTCGTGATAGCAACAGACGGGCACATAAGATACAAGGAGAACTGAAGAACCTCAAGTCCAAGGTATTCAGCCTGGAGAATGAGCTTAGACTCTGCTGATGTTTACTTTCTAGGGCTGGCACACGTCTTGAGTAGGGCTGCCTCCTGAAATGTGAGGAAAAGGTCACCTTCTCCCAGAAACCGTAGGCACGGAGTTGTCTAGAGTAGTGGTATCCATTGTTATAAAGGCAAGGTAAAAGATCAGCTTTCTTTGCATCCTAAGCTTTATGAGTTTTGCTGTCCTGTTAACCTTTTCTGTGTGTTTTTTTTGGGGGGTGGGGCTGGGGGTGTGATTTGGTCTGGATTATAATCTGAATTATTTACAGACTTTCCCACATTATTTTTCCCATTTATAATGACAGAGGTTTTTTTGTTTTTTTTAAGAAGACAGTGACAAAAAAGAAAGCATTTTTGCTGTGAGCTTGGCTGAGTGTTAGTGGGAGGACCGCCTACCCCAGGAGATAAAGACGCTGGTCTCAGTTTGCCTTTCTCCTGGGCAGAGGGCAAAGGCTGCAAATCACAGCCTGTCAAATGTGAATAGGCCGTAGTTCTGTCAGCCCTGAGCTGTAGGGCCTGAGATCCTTTCTGGACACCCAATCTCAGGAAGTTTCACCAGAGGGCACCAGAGGCCCTACTCTTAAGCAAAATGTTTGTCTAGGAAAGGAAAGGTGCCACTTTGGTAAGCATGAGTGAAACTTCAGTGATCCTTGTGTGAAAATTTCAGTGTTTTACCAGTACTGTGTTGTTTTAAAAATAATGTATATATTTTAATTTAACTATTTTTCAATAAAATATATAATTGGAAATATTCTTTTTGAGTTTTCTATAATCTCTTGTTAAAACCCCTTTTATACTTTATTGATGACTCAGTTTGCTTACCTAGTCCATGGTTTCTACAGTGCTGTGCAAGTATTAAGGTTCTCCTAAACGCATCCCTTGAAATCGTCTCGTTGTGGAGGCAGCAAAGATAGTATAAGGCGACGACACTAAAACCGTATCCAGTTTTTCCATCTCTGTTCTTTTTCTCGGCAAATAGCTGTGCACTTGGGGCAAAGTCCTTGTGAATGTACCTGGACAGCCTCTGGGAATTCAGCTGGTCTTGGCTTAGTATATAGCATCATTCTGTTACCCATGACAAAGGAAAGAACTCAGGGTTTCATATTTGTATTAAGGAAAAGTGGTGATTAAACTGTCAGTAGGAGATACTGCTTTTTTTTTTTTTCCCCAAAGCCTATGATAGCAGATCAAGTGCCTTTCGCTAATAAACAGACAGATTCCCAGAGGGACCAGTCCTGGGCTTCAGAGGGATGTACGTCAGTGGGTGGTGCTTCCTTTTGTCCTAATAACACTTGAGGCCTTAGCTATCCATCACTGTTGCTGTTTGATGTTGGGCAAAACAAAAAGGCTTATCAAATCACAGGATTTCAGAATAAGAAGGAATCTTAGAGATTTTATTTCATATGCGACTTAGGCCTCCCCACACTGGGTTCAGC